ACAGTATTGCGCAATAGCAAGAAATCTTCTATAGGAAAATAAATACAAATCTTTTAACCAATTTCAATGGGATTAAATTAAGTCTTTAATTTTTGGGGGTTCTAACCTTGTATTACTATTTTGAATATTGGGTCCCATTTTTAAATTGGTCTACATTGAGGTCCAAAGGATTCAAAATTAAACTTTGTTTGATTTCACCAAAAACTGAATTATTGCGGCTCTATGATATGCTGAATCTTATTGTGCATTTAGATTTTTTTTTTTTGGGCCCTGTTTTCAAATTAGTCCATATTAAGGTTTGAAGGGTCTAAAATTAAACTTTGTTTGATTTCAACTAAAATTAAATATTTGGTGTTTTTTTATATGCTGAATCTAACCATGTTGTTAGATTTTTGATATCAGACCATACTTGGTAAATTAAATGTCACATTTCAAATTTTTAAGATCTTTGACCACATTTATTTTGTGTCAGAACCCTATATAATGTTAAAAATTTGATCACAGTTCAAATTTAGACAGTATCAAGCTTAAATATTGTGTACAAACTTGCCCGACCTCTGTGATCGTATCAGGCTGCGCTCAGCGAAGCATTTTATTATATATTGGTTTGAAATATCTGTCAACAGTTGTACACATTTTTTTTTCAACAACAATCAAACCAAATATTTCTTTTCTTTACCAAGTTGAAATAGAATTTTTGTTCAATACTAAGAAAATAAAAGATGCGTGTATTCCTATGAAATAAATAGCAAAAAATAAACCTGGTTTATACAATATATTCATGGATATTCATGATACAACAATCCCCTCTATGAGTGTTGTATTTAATATCTTTTAGTCATAGGGTTTACAGGAGGGGATCGAAGGCTAGTGGAAATGGAGGAAGCAAAAAAAAAAGATATTTTTTTTTAACAAAAGGGGGGGGGGGGTCATACACCCTCTACCCTCCCCTGAATCACCACTGGTTTAGTTGAAATGCATTTATATATCTTTGTGTCAGCATACAAAGTTTACAAAATCATCTGCAATGTAAGTAGACAGAAAATGAGTTTATGTATATGAAAATGCATTATGTATATTTCAAGGAATAATGCTTTGATTATTTCTTTCCATCTTGATGATTTAAAGGATGTTCGCTCCTCTGTTTCAAGATACCAAGCTTTTTAAAAGACTGTAATGAATTGAAAGTATATAAATAAAGGTGCTTAAAAAGCAGAAAAAATGAAAGGTCTGTGTCCTTGTTTTTGAGATATAATCAATTGAAAATTTGTCGAGAAATGATTCTCTCTAGATTTTTCATACATTTAACATTGGCACCTTTTATCTTTCAAAAACTATGAAAAAATAACAAGGATTTTATAAGATTTTCAAAAATGGCTTTTTAAACTATATGTCATAGAATTATGAAAAGAAAAGAAGGGGGTTAGCCGGCAAAAGTTTTATTGGATAAAACTTGAGGATTCCGACTATCTGACAAAAAGTCAAAAACAAGAGTAGTGAACGTCCTTAAATCATTTTGATAAAAGTCAGGTATGTAAATTAAAATATGGTTTTAAGCATTTCTTGTTATGCTTAGGATTTTCTAGCAACTCTTGGATTCAATTTAAAAAAAATGAATTTTAAAACACCTTAACTAGAACAGTTTTTTTCATAGTTTTGTAAAACAGAATATTTGTTGTTGGCCAATGATGTGTCAAGTTAATTATTTTTCTTCCCTGTGGAATCTTAATATTTTTCACTTCAAAATACTCTCTTTAAGTTACATGGTTGTTCCCTAAGTAGATGATCAAAACATGCACAATCATTAGATACATGTATTCAAAGCAATATCTATTATGGATGCTGCATCTTCATTCTCTAGGGATATCTTTTCCCCCATTCTCTTTCTTTCCCCAATTCTCTATGATCCTCTATGGATATGTTTTTCCACATTCTTTAGAGATATCTTTTTTCCCATTCACCAGGAATACTTGTTTTGCCTAATTCTTTAGGAATAAATGTTCATTAAGATATTGTTTGATATTTATTATAATTCCAGAATATTAAATATATCTGTTATTTACCTGTACAAGAAATGATTTGGGTTATCTTCCTTGATTTTTGATGTTTAATAAATATTAATAATATTTATATTCAAGCTCATATTTGACAAGATAATTATGAAAAAGCATATGTTTTAAAGACTTAATGTATAGGGGTTAGCAGTGTCAGATAAATGATGACTTGAAAGTGTTAATTGCAGTTATTTGGAACTAAATTCACCTATATCAGAGACATATTGAGGCTTTTTTAAATAATAATTTAAAGTTAATGGAGGTATGTATTGTAGAGGCAATGGCAATGCATCTGGGGGCTCTGATGTCCAGGTCACAGCTCTGCATCTGACATTGTTTCTCGTCATATTTTTTGGTGAAAAATTTCACTTTAATCACAAAAAGAGGAAGTTAAAGAGGGTATTAATATGTCAAATAGACAAGTACTGAGTAATTCATTAACTTCTCAAGTAAATAAATGAGGTGTAGTCCAATTCAGTTTCTATATCATCACAGACAACAGGATATTGAATATTTTAATTACACCAACATACAATACTTTATAAATATTTTTCAATATTTTTTCAAGCAGTTGCAAGAATATTGATATATCTCAGCTACAAGAAGGAATTAGGCTCTTCCCCTCTGTCTAGATTCAATTGATGGGTTCCCAGATTACTCTCTAATTTTATATATATGTCCACAACCAGTTTTAAAGACTTACTGATGCAAGGGATATAACTATCTTCTAGAGTACTGAGAACATTGAGAGGAAAAATCAAATTAGACCTGAATAAAACAGCCAAAACCATTTAAGGATGTTCAGTCCTGTGTTTCAAAATAACAAGCTTTTTAAAAGACTATGTAATGATAGCATGAAAATAACAGAACTAAAAAAAGTAGAGAATAATGACAGGTCTGTGTCTTTGTATTTGAGATATAATTGATTGAAAATTTGGCAGGAATTGATTCCCTCTAGATTTTTCATCCATTTAACATTGGCATCTTTTCCCTAACAAAAACTATGAAAAAATAACAAGGATTTTATAAGATTTTCAAAACTTTGCTTTTTAAACTATATGTTAAAAAAGTTATGAGAAGAAAAGTAGATTCCGTTTTAATGATTTAAAATAATGATAGGGTCACTGACTTCGTTTTTACAGTATACATCTTTCAAAGTGGTTTTATATGTGAAACTAGAGGCTCCAAGGAGCTGGTGTCGCTCACCTGATATTTTTATTTACAATTGATGCATGAAATAATGCAACCGTTATACATTTGCTTTAGTTTCAGAGATATAAGTCAAAAACTGCATTTTCCCCCTAAGTTCTACTTTTAGCCATGCCTAACATGTTGGTTGGCAGGCAGGTTCATCGGACACATTTTTAAAACTAGATACCCTAGTGATGATTGTGGCCAAGTTTGGTTAAATTTGTCTCAGTTGTTTCAGGAGAGAAGATTTTTGTAAAAGATTACAAAAATTTACGAATAATTGTTAAATTTGACTTTAAAGGGCAATAGCTCCTTATGGGGTCAATTGACCATATTGGTCATGTTGACTTATTTGTAGATCTTACTTTGCTGAACATTATTGCTGTAAACAGTTTATCTCTATCTATAATAATATTCAAGATAATAACCAAAAACTGCAAAATTTCCTTAAAATTACTAATTCAGGGGCAGCAACCCAACAACGGCTTGTCTGATTTGTCTGAAAATTTCAGGACAGATAGATCTTAACCTGATGAACATTTTTACCTATGTCAGATTTGCTCTTAATGCTTTAGTTTCAGAGATATAAGCCAAAAACTGCATTTTACCCCTATGTACTATTTTAGCCATGTCGGCCATCTTGATTGGTGCGCGGGGTCATCAGACACATTTTTTAAACAAGATACCTTAGATTGTGGCCAAGTTTGGTTAAAATTGGCCGAGTAGTTTCAGAAGAGTAGATTTTTGTAAAAGATTACAAAAATTTATGAAAAATTGTTAAAAATTGACTATAAAGGGCAATTACTCCTTAAGGGGTCAATTGACCATTTTGGTCATGTTGACTTATTTGTAGATCTTACTTTGCTGAACATTTTTGCTGTTTACAGTTCATCTCTATCTATAATAATATTCAAGATAATAACCAAAAACTGCAAAATTTCCTTAAAATTACTAATTCAGGGGCAGCAACCCAAGAACGGGTTGTCTGATTCATCTGAAAATTTCAGGGCAAATATATCTTAACCTGATGAACATTTTTACCCATGTCAGATTTGCTCGAAATGCTTTAGTTTCAAAGATATAAGCCAAAAACTGCATTTTACCCCTATGTTCTATTTTTAGCCATGTCGGCCATCTTGGTTGGCAGGCGGGGTCATTGGACACATTTTTTAAACTAGATACCCTAGTGATGATTGCGGCCAAGTTTGGTTAAATTTGGCCCAGTAGTTTCAGAGGAGAAGATTTTTGTAAAAGTTAACGGACGACGACGGACGACAGACGACGGACGCCAAGTGATGAGAAAAGCTCACTTGGCCCTTTGGGCCAGGTGAGCTAAAAATAACACAAAAGGTCAAAATAATCTTAGCATCATTGTGTTGCAGGCCATAAAACATTAATTTTTGACGTTTTTCACTATCAACTAGGTATCAGATTGATTATTAGACAAAAAACAGTCGGTGACCATATGATTATTTTATATCATTAAAACAGAAATTTGTGTATCAACAACATATAGTTATTGTAAGAAAAATCTATGTATTAGAAATTAGAGATTTGATAATTTAAAGACAAATTTAGGAAGGTTTTTTGCCGATTTTATGTCCTTTTTATACAAATGTTCTATATTGAAAGAAGTAATATTTAAGATAATAATAGAGATAAATTTACTTTTTTGATTTTCAGTTATAGTTCAACGAGATAATCTGTGACATAGCCCATTTACTGTTCCTTGACCTTCAGGTTTAACTTTTTCAGATATCAGATGAGGTTCCTACAGATTTGTTGAAAGGTCAGATTTACCTGAAGTTGAATGATCAAGATAACTGTGAGGTATGTTTGTTGTTTGAAATAAATTTTGCCTCATTATACCAGCCCCCATCTAGGAGATTGGACCATGTGAACCTTTTATTAACACCTCTACTGTTCTGCTTTCCATTAGGCAATGGGGATATCAAGTGTTACACTTATACCATATGTTTGTCAAGTTTGGGTTTTCTTTTAAGAAATTATAATAACCCAACAGTAGTCTTTTGAAATTTGAATTCTTTTATGGGACATTCAAATGCTGGTGATTTTCTTTTTATGCCCCTAGTTTTTAAAGTTATGGTCAATGACCAAATCATTTTATTCAAAATTGGAAATGTTGTTAGGAAGTACAAATGTATACAGATAATTAACATTTTTAAGAACATAATAACTTGTCTTTGACCTATATTCTATTTCTTTTTTGTAGAAGTGCATCCATGGTGACATTCCTGAGATGATAGCATTAAGTGGGTGCTTATTGTACTATAAAAACAACTATGAAGAAGCTGTAGTCAAGTTTGTATATTATATTATTGTGGATAAATACCATTTAAGTTTTACCCTTGTCTGTCTGTATGTTCGTCCGTACTTCTGAACGTCCCATAATTAGTCTCCGTTCTCAAACTTTAGTTTGCCTCAACCAAATGTTATGAAGCCTATACGTATGCTTATTACCACTAAACACAGATCAAGTTCGAATTTGGGTGGCGTTACTTTCAGAGTTCTTGAGTTATGTCCCTTTATAAATGGAAGAATTGTAAATTTGCCATTTACTCAATCTAACTTTAGTTTGCATCAACCAAATGCTATGAAACTTATACACATGCTTATTACCACCAAACACAGATCAAGTTTGAATTTGGGTGGCGTTACTTTCAGAGTTCTTGAGTTATGTCCCTTTATAAATGGAAGAATTGTAAATTTGCCATTTACGCAATCTAACTTTAGTTTGCATCAACCAAATGTTATGAAACTTATACACATGCTTATTACCACCAAACACAGATCAAGTTCAAATTTTGGTGGTGTCACTTTCACTGTTCTCAAGTTCTGTCCTTTATAAATTTGAATTTGGTTGATGTCACTTTTAACATTCTCGAGTTATGCCCTTTATAAATTGAAAAATTGCTGAGTTTGCAGTATATTTGCAAGTGAGGGCATCTGTGTCCCATAGACACATTCTTCTTTTATTTATACCTTCATTTAATATCATCATATCAGTTTTATTGCTGTGGAAAACAATGTACCCGTTGTAAACCCACAATATTAGGAAACATTATTAACATCAGAGTAGATTCAAACCATAGAAAGTACATGTATTATTTACCCGTAGTATGTCAGTATTGAACCTTGAACCTGGGATTTTTATGCCCCACCCAGGGGCATTATGTTTTTCGGTCTGTGCGTCCGTTCGTTCGTACATCCATCCGTCTGTCCGTCTGTTCGTCATTCCGTTTGTCCGTCCGTTCGTCCGTCTGTCCTGCTTCAGGTAAAAGTTTTTGGTCAAGGTAGTTTTTGGTGAAGTTAAGTCCAATCAACTTGAAACTTAGTACACATGTTCCCTATGATATGATCTTTCTAATTTTAATGCCAAATTAGAGTTTTGACCCCAATTTCATGGTCCACTGAACATAGAAAATGATTGTGCGAGTGGGGCACCCGTGTACTATGGTCACATTCTTGTTTTAAGAAAATTAACTTGCATTTAATTCTTGATAAACATATTTTTTGTAAAACATAATGAATATTTTATAGATTTAAAACCAGTATTGAAACAGATCCTAATAACAGCTGGTCAATGTTTTGGTATGCTAAGTCATTATGGGAGAAATATAAGTACAGTAAAGAGAAGACAGACATTGAAACTTGCTACATGTCATTGCTAAAGGTAAAGCTGTCCATTAGTCTCTATGGTTTTATAATTGAACAGTTCTCTTTCATGTAATATATTTGTGGCAAATAGCTTGAAATCCATCTTGATTGTGTAAATGAAAGGAGTAGGTTGGACAAGGCCCCAATATGGCCCATTTTTCTAGCTAAGAAATCAAATAAGGAATTATTGACCAATATAACAATGAATCATAGCTTAAACAATTAAGGAAGGAAATAGTTCTCTTTCTTGAAATTTAAAAATCAGCATTTTTCGCGGCAACTGATAATTACCAATATAGTCTCTTGATAGTTTTTGCCAGGCTTTTACTTACATGCCTGTCTAATGTGACTTATTGTAAGATGACATGCTCAACTAGCTCCTCTTTGTAGAAATTGTGAATTATGATTTTAAGTTGTATACTGATCAATAATAAGATATAATATAATAAAAAAAAAACTATTCATTGCAAATATGTACATATATGCTTAGCTTCAGATTATTTGAAAATCTTTGTTCAGATGTTTGTGAAAATGAGTTTCCTTTACATTAGTACAGTGCTGGGAAATGACCAAAACACAGTATTTGCATCATTTATATAAGAACTTCTGGTGGTCTTGAGCATCAACCATACACCCTACTGTATAACCACCTCTACCAGTCCCAGTCTTCAGATGGTTTGTGTACATTTCAATTTTGGCTAGCTATGCCCCTCTATACCATACTAATGTCTTATGAGCTCCGTAGTAAAATAGAAAGACAGTCAGATCATAATAATTTCTAATCCAAACTAATAGAAAATCTATTAATGCAGCATGCATGAACTAATAAAATTGGGAATGGAAATGGGGAATGTGTCAAAGAGACAACAACTTGACCAAAGAGCAGAAAACAGACCAAGGCCACCAATGGGTCTTCAATACAGCGAGAAAATCCCGCACCCAGAGACGGGGTTCAGCTGGCCCCTAAACAAAAATGTGTACTAGTTCAGTGAAAATGGACGCCACACTAAACTCTGAAACACATAAATGAACCAAAATCAAAAAAACAAACAAGACTAACAAAGGCCTGAGGCTCCTGACTTGGGACAGGCGCAATAATGTGGCGGGGTTAAACATGTTTTGTGAGATCTCAACCCTCCCCCTACACCTCTAGCCAATGTAGAATAAACAAACATACAGCAAATACGTACAGTTATAATCTATATAATAACTAAATATGCAAATTTATGGGGGGGGGGGGGGGGGGGGGAGGGGACAGGGGTATCTGATTTCAACTTCCCTCCCCCCTTACTTCCAGACAAAAATTGGTAAAAAAAAAATTTCCTAAACTATTCCTGTTTTCACTCCCCTCTGCCCCTGGTTCCTGTCCCCTGACTCCTGTTTCCCTCCCCTGACTCAGGCTTCTCGCCCCCTCAGTCCCATATTCCCATACCCCTGTTCACCCCCTCATATTGGGTGTTTTAATTTATGTTTTTGTATAAAAATAAAGTAGATAAGTGGTATATTTTTGTTTTTATTTTTTATAAAGGTTAGATTTGTTTATCTTTATTTTTTAGTCAGCAAAATTGGACCCATACAATTCAGAAACATTTTTATATCTGGGACATTTCTCATTGAATGTCCAACATGATGAAACAAGGGCTAGAAAATGTTATCAGAAAGCTTTTGACCTTGACACTAGATGTGATGAAGCAGGTGCTGCCCTCTGTGATTTACTTAATTCAGCAGATCAGGAAGAAGAAGCATATAAACTCCTGCTCTCTGTGACTTCAAAAGCCAGTGCTGGTTGGTAAGTTATTTAATCCAAGAAATTACTAAGTCGTGTGAAACAGTACAATTTTATATAGGGTCTTCCATGTGTATATTCAGTAAACCTGGTTTTATTATTGTTATCAAAAATTTATTTTTTATAACATTACTTTATGTGTAATTGTACTTCATATTATGATTATGATTTTAACAAACTAAGGTATTAGAATATCTATTTTTTTCTTTCAGTGGAAAGTGGGCGTGGCTAAGGCTAGGATTGTACCAGGTGAAGCATGACAGTGCTAACTCAGCTGTGACCAGTTTCCAGGCAGCCTTAAGAGGAGATCCTAAAGATAAGTAGGTGTTTAAAAAGTTTTATAAAATCTTGATGAATTCATTAACGGTAATTCTGAGGCCTCTCTTTCTTAACATCCTGATGTATTCATTACTTCTGGGGCCCTCTCATTCTTAAAGATCCGGGTGAATGGATTACTTTCAAGGCCCTCTCTTTCTTAGGAATCCCTGTGAATGGATTACTTCTGGGGCCCTCTCATTCTTAAAGATCCTGGAGAATGGATTACTTCATAGGTCCTCTCTTTCTCAGGGATCCAAGTGAATGGATTATTTCTGGGGCCCTCTCATTCTTAAAGATCTAGGTGAATGGATTACTTCCGAGGCCCTCTTTCTTAGGGATCCTAGTGAATGTATTACTTCTGGGGCCCTCTCATTCTTAAAGATCCTGGTGAATGGATAACTTCTGAGGCCCTCTCTCTCTTAGGGATCCCAGTGAATGGATTACTTCTGGGGGCCTCTCATTCTTAAACATCCTGGTGAATGTATTACTTATGAAGCCGCCTCATTCATGTGGATCCTGGTGAATGGATCACTTTTGGTGCCCTCTCATTCTTAAAATCATGGTGAATGGATTACTTCTGAGGCTCATCCTATTCATAGGCATCCTGGTGCATAGATTATTTCTTGGGCCCTCTTGTTTATAGGGATCTTGGTGAATGGATTACTTCTGGGGTCCTCTCGCTCTTGAAGATCCTGGTTAATGGATTACTTCTGGGGTCCTTTCGTTCTTAAAGATCCTGGTAAATGCATTACTTCTAGGGCCCTCTTATTCTTAAACATTCTGGTGAATGGATTACTTCTGGGGCCCACTTGTTCATCGGGATCCTAGTGACTGGATTATTTCTTGGGCCCTATCGTTCTTGCAGATCCTGGTGAATGGATTACTTTTGGGGCCCTCTCGTTCTTGAAGATCCTGGTGAATGGATTACTTCTGGGGCCCTCTCGTTCTTAAAGATCCTGGTAAATGCCTCATTTCTGGGGCCCTCTCGTTCTTATTGTTAAAACCAATAGATGATATTGAAGATGTTTCCAGGATGTTTGATAGCTGGTTCATATGAACTTGTTTCCTTTTTTCTTATTATTTTCAGCCATGTATGGGAGTGTTTAGCTGAAGCATACTATCACAGAGGCAGTTACACAGCAGCATTGAAAGCTTTCACTAAAGCTTCTGAGGTATTGGAACTTTGTTGTTGTTGTTCAACAAATGATATAACTTTTATTCATTAAAACAATGAACATTGGCAGTTTATTCCTTTGACTAAAAGTTTTTAACCAAAGAAAATGCATTTTTGTGTAGAACTATTCTCAACTGCAGTCAGTAAACTAACTGTGAAGGAATGAAGATAATATTCTATTAATTTTGTCTGCTTATTGTTCATAGATGATTTTATTAAAATGGTAGCAGTTTGTTTATTTATGTATCTATTCCAATAAGTCATTTGATAGTTAACAAATAGTTCTTTCATGCCATATTGTATTTCATTTTAACATGGATAGGCATTATATTTGTCAATATCTTTATACTGAGCATTAAGGAGGTGTAAATTGTTGACAAATATAATGCCTACACGTTGTTTAAATAAGCAAAGAGCAAAGCATGATAAAATTATTTTGATTCTAGTCGGAAATAAGACATATTGGAAAGGAAGCCATTTTTATGTGAAGAATTCAAAGTGATATAGAAAAATTAACATTTTTACGATTCAAAAATAAACAGATACTTGTTAACTTACTTTTAGAATGATTTTATTTAATTTCCTAGTAAGTTACCCCAATAAAAATGTCCATTTCGATCTCCTGCATCAGTCAACATATAAATGAGGTTGTAATTTAATTGTTACCTCAATCACAATGCAGCCTATTGTAATTAGAACATGGCTTTGTTTCCAAAGCAAAAGAAGAGTGTCATATTAGAATGTAATTTAGTTGTGAAATTTCTTTCAGCTTGATCCGGATTCCATTTATTGCCTATACCAGTAAGTAATGACTTTATTCCTCCTTAATTGAAAAAAACCATAACAATGTCTGATATTATAGTGTATCATCACAGATCATTTATATGTAGATAATATCAGTCAGCAAAATTATAGACAGAATGGTATTGATAAATTAAAATGATTTGCAAAAATATTGACATTGTAACACTGATAACATTCACATAATGAAAATGCTGCAATTTGATCCAGATTCTTGATACATCATGCCAGAAATTGATCCTTTAGGCAGCTTTTTTTGAAAACTTGTATTGAGATGAACAATTTCATGAAATTTGTGAAAAATTTCTTGCCTCATATAATTATCCAGTCAACTTTATCTAATTTGAGATAATGATATTTTATTGACATTTTTTATTTCCATTGATTATTTTTTGACTTGCATACATGTATTAACAGTTGAAACCTCTTTAGTATTGCAGCCATTAAACAGACATTAGGGATGTTTACAGAAGCTATAGATGAGTACAAACTGATCCTCAGTAGAGATCCTGAATATGTTCCTGCTCTGAAAGGTTAGATACCATACATGTGAATAGATAATAACTATAGATTTCGGAAAATGATTTTTTAAGCTACCAGTTAACGTAAGAAAACTAATAGATTAACATATGGAGGTCTAATCTAAATTATGATCCCCAATGAGGCAGAAGTGTTACCATATGTCAAGGTCTAATTTGCCTTAAGTCTGTGGAGTTATTAGTGAATCAAATAAAGACACCATCACTAAAAAATTTGTAAGGGTTCCACGGAACCCAGTGTCTCGCCTACTTTTTCTGTTAATCGCAGGCTCAACAAAAATGAGGAAGTTAATCGATAAAAATATTCCTCTTGATACTATCTTTTGATTGTAAGAAGCTTCTGTCCAAGTATGGTAAAAATCCAGGATAGTTTATGAATCTAATAAATGTTTAAAAACTTTAACTGCAGACTGTTTGTAATGTTAACTGGAAGAAAAATTAAATCCATTTATAAGTAATATACGGAAAAACAGGAAATAAATTTTTACAAAATTTCCTTCTAGATACTAGCATTTGATCATAAACAAGCTTCTGTCCAAGTTTGGTACAAATCCAAAATAGTATAAGAAAGTTATTAAAATTTTAAAAACTTTAACCACAGAGTGAATGTGTTGTTTCCTGGCAGAAAATCTAAGTCCATTTAAAAGTAAAATACGGAAAAAATGGATTTATTTTTTTACAAAATTTCCTTCTCGATACTAGCTTTTGATCATAAACAAGCTTCTCAAGTTTGATACAAATCCAAAATAGTATAAGAAAGTTATTAAAATTTCAAAAACTTTAACCACAGAGTGAATGTGTTGTTTCCTGGCAGAAAATTTAAGTCCATTTAAAAGTAAAATAAGGAAAAAATGGATTTATTTTTTTACAAAATTTACTTCTGGATACTATCTTATGATCATAAACAAGCTTCTGTCCAAGTTTGGTACAAACCCAGGATAGTTTAAGAAAGTTATTAAAATTTTAAAAACTTTAACCACAGAGTGAAAGTAATATTTCCCGGCAGAAAAACTAAGTCCATTTATAAGTAAAATATGGAAAAAATGGAATTTTATTTTTACTAAATTTACTTCTGGATACTATCTTATGATCATAAACAAGCTTCTGTCCAAGTTTGGTAGAAATCCAGGATAGTTTAAGAAAGTTATTAAAATTTCAAAAACTTTAACCACAGAGTGAAGATTTGTGGACGCCGCCGCCGCCGACAGAATGTAGGATCGCTATGTCTCGCTTTTTCGACTAAAGTCGAAGGCTCGACAATTACTAAATAAAAACAGTTTAACAATCCAACAACAAGTGATGAGGCTCCTGACTTTAAACTAGTAAATTAATGTGACAAGGTTAAAATAAATGTGTTCCCTAATTTCAGTTGCAGAGATTAGTTTACAGTAGTAGGGCTATTTGATTTATAATACCCATAGGAGATACACATGTATGAATGATATAATGCATACATATATATTTTATGTTTCAGGAATTGGAGAGACATATATACTTTTAGCTAACCATCACCTTGAACTGTTTTTCAATGGGAAAGCCAGGGATAATTGTCAAGAGGCTTTGAATTATCTTACACGGTATGTATGAAAAATTGTTTTCTCATTTTTAATTGTTTTACATTTGCCATTTTGATGCTATTTATATTTGCTATTAGGAATTGACTTTGCTAATTGTTGAAGGTTGTGCAGTGAACTATAGTTGCTAACTTCTACATTATTTGGTCTCTGGTGGAGAATTGTTTGGTTGGCAATCATACCACATCTTCTAATTTTTATAATATTTTAATTTGTGTTTTTTCAATTTCATAGATAAATTATTGCCAAAGCATAAGTATAGCAAATCAGGTTGATTCAACTTCAAGTTCTACCTTTTTCAACATAAATATTTTATGCATTTTCAAACAGCATTGTGATTGATCTTTCTTTGGTAAATATTGGTTTTGGTTAAGTCTAGTTGTGTATATTTTAAAGAACCTCTTAAAAAAAAACCTTTAAACAATGCATTTCTTGTATTTTTAATAATAGAGCAGCCACACATAGACCAGACTTGTCCTGTTTATGGAAGTTTATGGGAGATGCTTGTACAATAACACATCAAATGGCCAAAGAGACTTTCAGGTAAAATCTACTGTTGGTAATAATATTATTCTGTCTGTCGTTGATTTCTCAAATTTTGATATTTTTGTTCTTAAATAATAATGGGTACTTATACCCCATAGAACAAGGTTGCAGAGGATATAATGTTTTTGATCAGTTTGCCTGTCAGTCAATCTGTCATCTCTTTGTTGTTACTTTGCTAGCGCCCCTCATTTTTAGCTCACCGTTCCACTTAATTGGTAGTTTTAAGGAAATTTTGCAGATTTTGGTTATTATCTTGAATATTGTTAATGATAAAGATAAACTGTAAACAGCAAAAATGTTCAGCAAAGTAAGATCTACAAATAAGTTCGTATGACCAAAAATGTCAATTGTCCCCCTAAGGAGTTATTGCCCTTTAAAATCAATTTTTCACAATTTGTTCATCTAGTTTGCTTACTTTAAAAAATCTTCTCCTTTGAAACTGCTGAATCAATTTCAGCCAAACTTGGGCTGAATGAGTTTCAGAGTATCTAGTATAAATTTTGCATTTTATTGTCGAGCCTGCGACTTTTGTCGCAGAAAGCTCGACATAGGGATAGTGATCCGGCGGCGGCGTTAGCTAACTTCTTAAAAGCTTTATATTTTAGAAGGTGAAAGATCTGGATGCTTCATACTTTGTATATGGATGCCTCATGTTATGAAGTTTCCGTCAGTCACATGTCCAATGTCCTTGACCTCATTTTCATGGTTCAGTGACTACTTGAAAAAAAAGTTAAGATTTTTTGTAATGTTAAATTCTCTCTTATTATAAGTAATAGGATAACTATATTTGGTATGTGCGTACCTTGCAAGGTCCTCATGCCCGTCAGACAGTTTTCACTTGACCTCGACTTCATTTCATGGATCAGTGAACAAGGTTAAGTTTTGGTGGTCAAGTCCATATCTCAGATACTATAAGCAATAGGTCTAGTATATTCGGTGTATGGAAGGACTGTAAGGTGTACATGTCCAACTGGCAGGTGTCATCTGACCTTGACCTCATTTTCATGGTTCAGTGGTTATAGTTAAGTTTTTGTGTTTTGGTCTGTTTTTCTTATACTGTATGCAACAGGTCTACTATATTTGGTGTATGGAATGATTGTAAGGTGTACATGTCTAGCTGGCAGGTGTCATCTGACCTTGACCTCATTTTTATGGTTCAGTGGTCAAAGTTAAGTTTTTGAGTTTTGGTCTTTTTTTCTAATACTATATGCAATAGTTCAACTATAATTGGTGTATGGAAATATTTTATGATCTATATGTCAGTCATGCAGGTTTTATTTGACCTTGACCTCATTTTCAAGGTTCATTGCTCAGTGTTAAGTTTTTGTGTTTTGGTCTGTTTTTCTTAAACTATAAGCAATAGGTCAACTATATTTTTTGTATGGAAGAATTGTTAGCTGTACATGCCTGCCTAGCATGGTTCCTCTGACCTTGACCTCATTTTCATGGTTCATTGGTCAATGTTTAGTTTACTTGGTTAATGTTAAGTTTATGTGACAGTTGTAATAAAGCTTTATATTTAGGACTATCAACATAATATCAATGATTAGTAAAGAAGGTGAGACATTTCAGCGTGTGCACTCTTGTTTTCTTGTACGTCAAGAAACAGCCACTATGGCTAAAATGAAACATAGGGGTAAAATGCATTTCTTTGATTTTGAGAAAAATATGACAGATACAAAGAACATTTCAATGGAAGTTTTAAGCCATTCATTAATATATATTGAAAAGCAAAAATAATCATTGATGAAAGATTTAAGCAAAAAATTACAGGTGAGCAATTCAGGCTCTTGAGAGCCTCTTGTTTGTTGGATCCTCTTCAAATTTCTATGAAGGATTCAGCTCATCAGACCGCTAATGAATTCCATAATCAGAAAAATCTTAAAACAGGGACTTTAAAAATATCTCATATAAATTATGTTGGAGGGTATGGGGTATGTAAGCTTGCTTAATAAAAGTTCTTTCATTTGAATACTGTAAATTCAGAAATTATTGCATGCATTTATTATTGCGATCTTTAAAGAACAGACAAAAATGCAAGATTGATTATTGCGATTTCAAGAAAATCTTTATACAGATATATGTATCAGTTATCAGAATGCGAGTTCTTATTATTGCGATACTCAACCAATCGCATTATAAAACCTCGCAATAATTTCTGAATTTACAGTACTCAAGTGTTAGACTAATATAAATGACTATGCAATAAACTCTGAAATTGTATAAAATCAAAGTAAAAATTCACTACCAAAAACATAAAAATGTGATGGAACAAAGGAAAAATGGTGTATTGGACAAGATTTTATGGCAAGGCAGACTTCTTAATCATTTTTAATTTTATATCAAACTATTAAAGTTTTAAATTAATGACAGTGCAATAAAAATTTTAAAAACAGATATGTGTTGAGAAACAAACAATTATGTCCTAGCCACCTTACTCCTATTTATTACATTATCATCGTTACAAACAATATTGTCCTAGCCACCTTACTCCTATTTATTACATTATCATCCTTTTGCAGCCAATTTTTTGGTCTGACATTATACAATCTTTAATGGAAAAGGTAATTTGGGGAAACCATTTGGCCTGTTAATGAAAAAAAGAAAATCTGTGTTGCTTAAATATTTTATGAATACTAAGTTTATTTGATAAGATGTAATAGTTTAATTAACAGATCATTATTTATTTTTTTATGGATTATAGAATGGAAGTACCAAAGAAGCTACTAGAGAAAAGTGATCAGGAATCAACAGTGTTATCAATGATACAAACATTGGAATTAGGGGCACGGTAATATCCCTTGTTTTAATAAGTACTTTTATAAGTATTTCTGATGGATATAGTCAGTAAATGTCAATGTGGCATTGATCTAACAACAGCAGGTAACATTTAGATGTACCGGGTAACCATACAACAATGAGAAAAGAATTTCAGAAAATAATATTATATATTCTGTACAAATAAGGTTTTAAGGATAATGGTGGGTAAAGCCATGTTTTATATCTAGGGTTGGAATTGCACATTTTTATCTGATAGATATATCTAACATTAAATATTTTAAAGTAAATTGGTCCTTACACCACCTACAGATATGTATTCAAATTTTCAGATGCTATGGTAGAGCTTTGAAAATTCTGCCTGAATGTGCCTCCCTTTGGCATGACCTTGGATTTAACCTTTTTAACCAATCACAGAATTGTTCCTCTGAGTCCATGACAACAGTAGCAGGGAAGTCTGTCAATTCATTGAAGAAAGCCTTGTCTTTAGATAGTAGCAACCATTTACACTGGAATGCACTGGGAGTTGTGGCATCCTCCAAAGGTTTGGGTTTATGTTTTACTAGAAATTCTAATATGACGTGCTTCTTTCGCTTTGTAAATAACACTGTGATAAAATTCTCGATATATCTATACTTAGCGCAGACTCAGAGATATGCATAATAATGGATGTTACAATATACCTCCCTTGTAAATCCACATGTATTGGAACCTATTTGCAAACAATATGCCAATTTTATTGTTTTAAAAATTGCAATTGAAAAAAGACTACAGAACTTTTATTCTTATTCGGATGCATAACAAAAAGAATTAATGCACAAGAGCTCGGAGAAATCTACAAAATCAAAATAGAATATAATTCCGCGAAAGTCCATTAATGTTTTTGGCACATTTAAGTCATTTCAAAACATGACGTCAATCAAATGAAAACGCTAAAGCTGAAAGTTTTTTCCGTTACGTGAACCATCTAAATTCGTAAAATATTACATTAAAATGGATTTTTGAGGTAGGTGTTGTTTTATTTTCTATTTTATTGCATTATTCACATATTTACTGATTACAGCAAGTCAACATGGCGGCTCCTTAGTTACGAAATGTCAACTTTGGATTTGACGGTAGCTTATGAGAAAAACATGTAAATTAAAAATGGCAAATGTTGGTTTTGAGAATTAATAGAATTAAGCACATTTTTCTAGCGGTTGTTTACGAAATTATTCATGTAAGCTACAGATTTATTAGACTGTTTTAGCTTTATCTAACAGGGAGTAAAAAAGAACAGCCACACACACGGCATACCCACCCTCGCTTCAAATTTTTAATGACCGTATTTGTCCTATTAGAATCGAAATAATTCATGGAAGCCATAGATTTGTTGTAAATTTACACATGGCCTGGGCCGAGATATTCGTTAATTTTATCCCTCGCTAACGCTCAGGATAAAATTCGAATATCACGGCCCAGGCCATGTGTAAATTTCCAACAAATCTATGGCTTTCATCAATTATTTCTTAAGTTACAAATAATTGAGTTGATGATATAGATTTCATAGGAATGGACTTATTCAGACATGGTGGGAAGTTGTCTCATCGGCAATCATACCACATCTTTGTATCATAATATGGAGTTGCATTATGAGATTGTCATTATTTTGAATGATCTGATTGGTCCAGAAATTAGAAACAATAATGCTGAGACTATCCAATGTAATTTACAAGGACGAATGTTGAATACTGTATATTCAGAACTTTTTTTTATGTTTTATCATTGCAAAATTTGAACATGATAGTTTTTGCATAAATAAAAAGTTGTATTTTGAATTTTGACTGCATTACTTGAATGCAGCATTTCCTGAAATCTCAATAATTAATCTTGCATTATTGTCTGTTTGTCAACTATTGCAATAATTAATGTTAGCAAAATATATCTGAATTGGCCCATTATCTTGAATGTTGCCTTTAGTTTAAATAAAACTGAATCTAATATAACACTCTTCTATCACTTTGTAAACAAAGCCATGTTCTTATAACAAAGTAATCTATAAACCTTATTGGTTTCAGAAATGAAACATTGCAATTGACAAATTTGATATTTCACAACTAATATGCTGATAGTATACATAAGGTACATTGAATTTAATTTTAATGAAATCTGTACACCTTATATAGTTCAATTTTACCAATCTTTCTACTCTAGGAGCCTACAACCCTACCCTAGCACAGCACTGTTTTATCCAGTCTATCAAAGCAGAGGCTAGTGTAAGTAGCATTTATATTTTATAAAGTTTATAATTTAGAAAATCAAAAACTATTATCAGCACAAATCCTTGAAATAATAAAAAAAAATATTTATTTGCTAATTTCTTTATTCTACTACACATTTTTAATCGCTCTGGTAGCAGCCATGAATTTAACTTCAGTTTGTTGTAAAAATTTAAAAAAAATTTCAGTGGATGCCTTACCGAATTTGAAGTTGAGTTCTTCAAAAATGACTTTATGCCAATTATATGTGTGAAGACAATTTTTCTCTCCAGTTTCAAACGCCAAAAAAAGGCTGCATATAATATATAAGTGCCTTTTAATAGACACTAAAAGACAGTATCCAAAATCAATATGAATTGAAAAAATATTGTTTTAATATAACCCTGTTTCATACTATTCAATTATCTGGTATCTGTTTATTGTAGTTCCATCTTCCACTTGTGTCAAATTATGATAAATATATTAAGAGAAAATAGTTTAACATAATTTTTGACTAGGATCTTCAGGTAAAGGCATCCGTTTTATTTGATCTGTATATTAAAGATTCACACACACAAAAAGGTACACAAAACAAAAGAAAAAACCAAGCTGAATTGTTCAAAAAATTATTTTTTTCAGAACCACATAGCATGGACAAACCTGGCAACATTGTACCTTACCAATGATAATATACATGTGAGTGTTGAAGCTTAAGTGTACTTGAATACTAAGAGATCCCTGTATTCCTTAAAATTAGTGACAAGTTACTTCTAGAAACCATTTTTTTTTTCTCCAGTCACAAAGTCACAGAAGCAAGATTTAGGAGTGCTGTTTCTTGCGTCAATGATAGTGTTGACAGTGGCATCAAAAATTGTTTGTGACTGTGATTAGATCAGTGTATTGTAAGTGAACCTTAACTAATGGTGAGTCAGTGGTATTTGGTATACAGTTTTTGGATTATTTCAGTTTAAGGGCAACCACTAATGGTAAGTAAATGATATTTGATATGCAGTGTATCTTTTCCATGGAGATCATTGGGCCACACTCTGTAGTCTTGGTCCATTGACTTTGAAAATTTGCATACTGTAAAAGCAGAAATTATTGCTTGCATTTATTATTGCAATTTTTGAAGAATGAACAAAAATGTGAATTTAATTATTGCGATTTAATGAAAAGCTAGATACAGATATATGTACAAGATATCAGAATGCGAGTTCTTATTATTGCAATACTCAAGGAGTCGCATTATTCGAATTTATAAAAACCTCGCAATAATTTCTGAATTTACAGCAGTTTACATGTTAAATTGTGATTGGGTTAGTTTAAGGTGAACCCGACATGTCAAAATGAAACAATCCATCTATCAAATCTACGGCCTGATTTATTTTGTGACTCTGTGTATTTCCATTTCTCTTTCTTTTATAATCAGAGATGAATAATGCCAGAGTTATGGCTCTTTAATTGTCTCTATCACAGACAATATAAACACTATAAAATTGTTATATTTTCCAGCTAGCACATGAAGCTTTCAAGATGGCACAACGTCTTGAACCAACTTATGTTGCAGCATGGATTGGACAGGTATTAAAGTTATATGAATATAAGAAGATGTAGTATGATTACCAATGAGACAACTCTCCACCAGAGACCAAATGACATAGAAGTTAACAACTAAAGGGCACCGTATGGCCTTCACCGAATAACCCATTTGATTAACAGAATGTAATAATCATGTGTAACTTTAATAACAAAAAATATGTCTTGTGAAAAGCATTCACTCTATTGTTTTACTATTAATGGGCTTTATATAATTAGATGCAATAGATAAAATTGTCTTTAAGATTGACAACTGCATTATTTTACAAAATCAATTTGTTTTCTGATGCCACAAAAAACAGACATCATGTTTTGTCAAAATGTATTTAATTTAAATTTAACTCCTATGAAATATATGCTTACTTTGAGTGCAGGCGGTTGTAGATTTGATTCAGACCTAACCAAACAACATTTTGGAATTTAAGGCAATTGATTGCTTAGATCATGCAATCTGTTGAATATTTCAGGCCTTAATTGCTGAGACTGTTGGCGATGAAGATGCTATGGATTTGTTTAGACATACAACAGAACTGGCTACCCATGTAGGTTTCTTTTAATTTTAACTGAATTATTTGACTGAAGAGTGAAAGGGTGATAAAGGGAAAAAGCAAACAAACAAGAATACAAATAAAAAACTTATCATTATTCCATATAGCCATCACAAAAATTCAACAAAAACTGCACCCTATACAGTAAATTTGGAATTTTCATTGAAATATATGAATTTACAAATGAGAAATTCAAAATTTAAGATGCCTTACCAACTCCCCTCTGTTATATTGTCTATATTTTCCTAAAAAAAAGGTTACATCAGAAAATAAATTACATGTGCAAATTACCATAAGCTACTGTAGCTTGTTAGGTTTCATGAAAATACAGTTTCATATTGGTTTTGGAGGAGTAATGAATACAAAGTGTGGACAGAGGGGAATGAGAGTACACAACAATCACTCTACTACCCTGCTTCAGTAAAGGGAGGGTGTAATCATAAACCAATACAAATTAATAGCAATGAGAACTATCTACTAGAGAGAAAATAAAAACCTGTGAGAACAATATATCATACCTGTCAACCTCTGAAAATGAAAATACAGGTCATAAGCTGCATTGAGGAAGGTAAAGTCAATGTATAACCCATACAGAAATTTCCGTTGAATTTTAGAATTTAGAGGATTTTTTATTTTTAATAGTCTATAACATATACCAGTTCCTACAAATTGTTAAGTATTTGCTGAAAATTATTTAAAATTTTAATTTATGTTTTCATTTTTACTTCATTGTATTTGTTTAATATTTATTATTAATCAATATATAACAATGCTTTCTAATAATTTCTATCAAACTATTTTGTCTTAATGAATTTTATATACCCCAACTATAATAAGAAATCAGCTATAGCTAATGTGCTCATATATATAGGAAGAAGATAAAGAGAAAGTATGATTTTCTGTTGTTTACATTGTGTACACTGTTGTGTGCAATCCCAGGTAGAGCACATTATGTATGTATTTTCAGTGACAACAAAATGAATGGTTAAAATTAGTTTAGGGACTTGTTCCTCTTCAACAGATATGTATAAAGAGGTTCTTCAATCTTTTTTATAAATCAGGACATAAAATTGTATGTCAATCTTGACTCGATTCAACCTTTTCTGGGATACATTTTACGAGGTAATAAGCGTATTGTCATTACCTTTCAATCAAAAGAGTGTCAGAATTATGTTTTGATAGCTGTAAATCATTCAATTTAGAGCAAATTATCATTTATAAGAGGAAAATTTAGTCCAAATCATTTTGATGTGTTGAAAGGTTAATTAAATTTTTTGCTGAGAAGCAGGACATAGGAAGGCATCACAGAAAAGAATTAAAATAGCCTTTCAAGACGTCATAATTATTTGGACTAAGGAAAACCAGGCATTTTAGACATTGAAAGTCTCATGGCATGAGAATACGGGTAAAAACAGGTCATTTGATGAAATCCCAGGTTATTTGATGACCTGGACAGGTATTGAAAAATTTCAGGTCAGCTAGAAATTCACAGGTCACACCCGCCAAATTCAGCTCAGTTGACGGGTATGAAATACTGTAAACCATATTTTTTGTACATACTGTTTTTCTGTGCTTAGTCCTTTCTGACTCATATCATATTGCTTTATTTCCATGATTTTGTAACTTTGTTAATGTATTTATATAAGAGATGATACAAGTTTTCAACATGTAAAAGTGGCGTATATAAATGGCTCACAAAAGTAATATGGTTGACAGTGTTTTTTCACTGTCATTGATTCTAATTATTTTAGTATGAATTTCTGATAATAGGTAGAAGGGGCCAGCGGTTATGGAAGTTGGGTGTGTTCCATGTTACAGGATGAATCTAAACACAATACTGATCTGTATCAGTACTCCATTAAACAAATGGCTGCCGTCCCTGCTGCATCAACTGGTCTTGGGAAATATTTAGGTAACATTTCTAGGAATTATACCAATGTCCTTCTTACGTCCCTCATAATGTATACAGATAATACACATATAAACAGGACTAAATCTGTGTTGATATTTTCTGTCGTCTTGTTTTAAGGATGTATTCTTCTGATGTTTCAGTCTCGTTGAAATCTCGTTTGGGAATTATTTCCAAAACATATGATAGAAGTGGAAAATATTAATGAATTAAAAAAAATCATAATTAAACTTAACTCTGTGAAAGAATTGTGTACTTACAATAAGTAGTTTTTGAGTAATAAAATTTTAAAATTTTATAACCAATCCGATCAGTGTCATCAACCAAAATGTTGGGAAAATGGGTGAGGGGTACAAAGAAATGGTTTTACCAAAAAAATACATACATCCCATATCAATTTTTTCTGTACAAAATTCTTAGAAATGTATTTTTTCAATTGTTTATAACAAAGAAGTTGAAATAATATGCTTTTTGTTCTACAAAAAAAAAGAGAAAAATCCCAAATTTACAAAATTGACAGCATGGTCAATTTGACACAAAAAAGCAACATAATTTTATAAAACTTTCTAATATTAACACCAACCTATAGTTTTTTTAAGTTAAATTTATTCAGACTGGTCCACTTCATCTTTAGTGAAAGTATGAAAAAAAGTTTTATTGTGAAACTGTGATTTTTTTCATGATATTAGCCCAAAAATGGGTAAAAATTGATGAAAAATGGGGTACTTTCAAATGGCCATAGCAAAAAAAGAAGTGCACCACCATATGATTTTTTCTTCATCAATTTCTTATAGTCATATAAACCCGAAAATCAGGTGAAGAAAAAAAGTTTAATTCTATTTTTTAGAAATTTTTGGCTCCTCAGAGGTGTACAGCCTTAATATAAAAACAAGGAGATGTGGTATGATTGCCAATGAGACAACTATCCACCAAAGTTCAAATGAAGTGGATGTAAGCAATTATAGGCAACCGTACGGCCTTCAACAATGAGAAAAACCCATACCGTATGGTCTGCTATAAAACTTAACTAAATTTTACCTCTATAGAAACTAAAATGGAAGTTTGTTTTCTTTTTTTGTTTTAGATCGCATTAAGACAAATGGTACAGCTTATAACATGTATGGTTTGTTACTAGAACAACAAGGATTGTACAGATCAGCTGTTCAGGCCTTCAAAAGGTGTGTGTATTAACGATTTCTATGTATGTATGTGCACTGATTTATACATTATTATACTTGATGCAACTTTATGTAAAAACCACAAATTTAGGATAACTATTCTAGTTTCCTTTGAAAGGGTTACATCATAGGTTTGTTATATTACCTCTGACTTTTAACTGTGAAATTATAATTGGTATGTGTCACAATGTGTTGTCCATCTGATTACTAATTCCAGTATTTTAAAGTATAGGATCAAAGATAATTTTACTGAAGATCAGTTTCTATCAATTGTTTAAAAAAAAAGCCTATACCTAATTCATATTTGGTTGCTACTGGTTGGTTCAATTTAAGTTGTATCAAGAGATTAGTAAAATATTGTTACTAGTTAAAGTTAGTAAATAAATGTAGATTAAACAGTTTGACTTTTAAATAAAGAAGGGATGTTTTGTAATAATTTATGACACAAAATCCCTATATACACATGACAAAACCTGAACAGTAACCTTTCATTGCTGATTTTCTTTTTAAAGTTGGGGACCTTCAAGCAAGTAGCAAAAGCTCACACCTCACTGCAAGTTCTAGAATGCCACAGAATGCACTGAAGTACACTAATATAGGATCATATCAACTAATTACAGACTTAAATGGGAAAAGAAATCTATCAAATACTGTCATTTTAAAATACAGAAACAATACAGATATATAGACAACCACAAGGCACATTAATATATTTGTTAGATAAAGTGACATGAAATAAAGTACCATAACATAACTATATAAGACTGGATAAAAGTTACTAGGACAGTTAAAGTTGGTAATAAGGATATCAGCAGCATTTATTTGCTATGTCAATACCAGTTTCATATCTAATACACCACTGTATTTGTTATGACCTTGAAGATTGAATGTCTCACTTTTAGATGCCATGATATTTGCACTTTAAAAACCTGGGCATGATGGAGTGTCTATAGATGGCCTGTTGAAAGTTTAAATTTCTGCCCATACCAGATATGCCATCTTTTCCATTCGCAAATGAATAAAAGGAGATCAGAAGTATAGATGAATGAGACAGCACCTTATAACACAAAAGACATAAAGACATCTACAGTTAGTATTGATTTCTAGCCCTCCCCCGAGTCAACCTGTGTTGCTGAATGTGCATGAAATATTTTCAACTGAACAATGAGCAGACAAAAATTATGCAACTGGTTATGAATGAGTTCATGTTAATTAGACATACCATGTCAAAGAAAATTATACATGTAGTATGTAATATTTTATATTATACTTTCAGTGCAATAGATTTAGGTAGTTGTAAAGAACCTGCCAAAATTAGAATGAACTTAGCTAGAGTTTTATGGTAAGTAAGTAAACTGTGGTGTAATAATTCATTCATTAATCAATGGTGATTTATACAAATAAACTGTTACACCAAAGAGACTTGGATATAGAAATGTGGTTTCCTTGACATCTCCATCCTGGCAATTATAATGTTTGGTTATCTTGGATGCATGAATAGGCAACCAAGTATGATCGGAACAGAAATATTAAGTATGACACCCTATGCACTCAAAAGAACCATTGCAACCACTCTTGTAGGGGTGTGCAGTTGGCTTTTGCAATCAAAATGTATGCCTTTATACAAAACATACCCTCTTTTTCCAGCTGTAGTCCAAATTTCTCTTGCTGTTCATCAAGGTTGACCCCATTTACAGAACCTGATAAGTTGGTGATGTTTTTTTTTAGGCAAACTCCGGTATGGGTTTTGTTCATTGTTGAAGGCCGTACGGTGACCTATAGTTGTTAACTTTTATGTTATTTGGTCTCTGGTGGAGAGTTGTCTCATTGGCAATTATACCACATCTTATTTTTATATTGAAACTTTCACTAAGCACTTTAATATGAAAGTGCTTTGTTACATATTTACATCGTCTTTCATAATGAAATCTGATATTATAATGATTGTTTTTTAGCTCACCTGGCCCGAAGGGCCAAGTGAGCTTTTCTCATCACTTGGCGTCCGTCGTCCGTCGTCGTCGTCGTTAACTTTTTACATTTTGAACTTCTTCTAGAGAACCACTGAATGGAATGAAACCAAACATGGCATGAATGTTCCTTATGAGGTGCTGACCAAGTGTTGTTACTTTGAAGCCGATACATCATCCAAGATGGCCGCCAGCAGGGGACTTAATTTAACATAGGACCCTATGGGAAATACATACAAATGTCTTCTTTTAGAGAACCACTGAATGGAATGAAACCAAACATGGCATGAATGTTTCTTATGAGGTGTTGACCAAGTGTTGTTACTATGAAGCCGATCCTTTATCCAAGATGGCCGCCAGCGGGGGACTTAGTTTAACATAGGACCCTATGGGAAATACATACAAATGTCTTCTTTTCGAGAACCACAGAATGGAATGAAACCAAACATGGCATGAATGTTCTTTATGAGGTGCTGACCAAGTGTTGTTACTTTCAAGCCGATCCATCATCCAAGATGGCCGCCAGCGGGGGACTTAGTTTAACATAGGACCCTATGGGAAATACATACAAATGTCTTCTTTTAAAGAACCACTGTATGGAATGAAACCAAACATGGCATGAATGTTCCTTTTGAGGTGCTGACCAAGTTTTGTTACTTTGAAGCCGATCCTTTATCCAAGATGGCCGCCAGAGGGGGACTTAGTTTAACATAGGACCCTATGGGAAATACATACAAATGTCTTCTTTTAGAGAACCACAGAATGGAATGAAACCAAACATGGCATGAATGTTCTTTATGAGGTGCTGACCAAGTGTTGGTACTTTGAAGCCGATCCATCATCCAAGATGGCCCCCAGCGGGGGACTTAGTTTAACATAGGACCCTATGGGAAATACATACAAATGTCTTCTTTTAAAGAACCACTGTATGGAATGAAACCAAACATGGCATGAATGTTCCTTTTGAGGTGCTGACCAAGTGTTGTTACTTTGAAGCTGATCCATCATCCAAGATGGCCGCCAGTGGGGGACTTAGTTTAACATAGGACCCTATGGGAAATATATACGAATGTCTTCCTTTAGAGAACCAATGAATGGATTGAAACCAAAAATAGCATGAATGTTCCTTATGAGGTGCTGACTAAGTGTTGTTACTTTGAAGCTGATCCTTTATCCATGGTGGCCGCCAGTGGGGGGACTTCCTTTAACATAAGACCCTATTGGAAATACATACAAATGCTTCTTCTAGAGGTGCACTGAATGGAATGAAACCAAACATGGCATAAATGTTTCTTATGAGGTGCTGATGAAGTGTTGCTACTTTGTTGCTGATTTACTGTTCAAGATGGCCACCAGGATTTTTTATTAAATTACAGGGCCAATATTAAACCAAATTTGGCCTCATTATTAGGGTATCTGTTATGATTTTAATCTATTTTAACATGATTTCCAAAACCAAAGTAGAATCAGGTGAGCGACACAGGCTCTTGAGAGCCTCTAGTTTTACTGTCAGGAAGGTAAATTGCACAAAAGAAGGAACACAAATTTCCTTTGATTTCTATCATTATTAAAAAAATTTAAGATAGAGCTAGCTAATGTTGCCATCTTTAAATATGCCTATCACAATGAAAAATTGATAAAGATGTGAGATAAGGTTGCTATCAAAACTTAGTCAGTTGGGGATTAAAACTGAGTCAGTAAAGGGTTTTGAACACAAACATTTTTTTTATCAGATATTAACATCCTTAAGCATGAGTTTATTTTTGCAGAAAAATATTACAATGTTGGTCTGAAATTAAGATGACACAGATGTATTTTTATGTTTTTATGTTTTACAGTCAGCTGCAGCTATATGATGAAGCTATGTTGCAGTATGATAAAGTTGACATGCCAACAACCTTTAATGACCTTTGTAGTCTAGGTTATGCTTGCTACAAATCTGGAAAATACAAAGAAAGCTATCACGGTAATTGTAAAACTCTTAGATTCATTGACAAAAGAGAACTTATTAACAGATATCTAAAAGTTAAATTTGAACAAGTTACAATTTTACTGTTTGTTTTTTAAGTTTTAGATACATGATAAAAAATGTTGAGGCTCTGTAGATAGGAATTTATTTTTGTATTTTTAGAAGTAACATCTTGGTAAAATGGTAACATACCATATATTTATTCTTATTAAGAATTACTTTGTTATGGGAACAAAAATTGGAAAGATCTCTTTACTTAAAACAGAACCACATGAGCAATTTCCTTTGGCATGAAAATAGCTTATGACAGGCCCAATAACAAAAATGCTTAAAATATTTTTAGGACATTAATTTATAGCTTTTGATACAAAATATGATTATAAGGCATGGTAGTTATTATAAAATATGGAAATTAAGAAATTTATAATAATAAAACTGATAGTCTTTAGAATTCAGATCTTTCACTGCCTAATAGTCTTGGAAAACCAGAATTTCATAGGTTGCATAGGGTTTTTGTGAATGTATGTTAATAGACTTAATTTTTCAAGGAAATATACCAAGCATTATGCTGGCATATTTGTGTTTTTGGCTATTTCGTTATCTTAAACTTTCTTAGAATGTTGAAATTTCTTGTCTTCATATTGACCAAATGCATTTAAAGATATCTGATAATCACAAAATCATATCTTTACCTAAAGCTTACCAGGAAGCATCTGAGCTAGCTACAGGGGACAAGGAAAAGTCACATGTCTTAACAGCTCTAGGAATGGTGGCTTATAAGTTTGGAGACCTTGATGGAGCTAAAGCAGTTCTTCTACAAAGGTATTTTGAACACCAGAATTTTAATGATTTTGATCTGACAGTATTGTTTGTTACTGAATATCTTGATAGAAACTTAAGTGTGCGAATTGACCATTACAGACCATTTTTGGGTACTACATTTGTTATTATTATAACTGAAGGACATATACAAACTGAACATTTGGGACTGAATACTTATGAGACCAGTAGAAAGTTACTTTTAGATGAGCATCCTTACTAAATCAATTTTAAGGTTGTGTATTTAATTCATCACAACTAAATTTCGTGAAATCTTAGCACAAACCGTTCTCATTTGCAGACAATATTTTGGAATTATACAATGTTTAAGGTTTGAGTTTCTTACTTTAACAATATTACAGTATAATATATCATTGTTTATTTTCAAGAAATTCTTTAAAAACTAAAATCATATAATTATTTGTTAGATACTAAATGTGTTAAATTTTGGTTTTTATTTCAGTTCCCAGTTAACACCAGCCTCAGTGAATGGTTTGAAGTCACTCTGTGCTCTTGGCATAACCTTATCTGATAGTACACTAACAATGGCTGTCCTACAAGAACTCTTCAGTCATGAAGATACAGAAGTTGATGTTTCTCATCTAATGACAATATCTCACTGCTTGTTAGAGGTACATTATTATTTGATATAAATCATATATTATCAAGTAATGGCAGTACTGTATCTCAAAGAGTTGTCACTGTCAAATGCCAAAATGATGGAGGAAACTCCTCAAATGCAGATTTTTTATTCTTTTTCTAATGCAAACATCAATGTTGTTGTCAATGATTGCCATTATTAGATTAATGACAGAGGTCATCATAACAGAAGTGGCAATACATGTTGTATTGTTGGTGGCAGAATTCATCCAATAAGAAGTGGCATAACCGGTTGTATTGTTGATGGCAGAATTCATCTAATCAGAAGTGGCATAACGTGTTGTATTGCATTCGAAAAAGTTATGGTTTATTTTGGGGGAAACTAATTTCAGAACCCATCAAGATCAAAAGTAAAGTTGTGGTATGATTGGCTGCTATGGCAATGACACAGCTGTCCACCAAATACATGAGGGAGTAGATATCTACTCCATAAACTAGATTGACTATTGATTTAAAAGTATTTTCATGATTCACTTTTATAATATAGAGTGCACCTATTGTAATGCATGGGCATGTGCATGTCCACATCTACACTTAGGTATAAGGTGGTATGTGAAACCATATCTTATAGATAATAGTGATAAACAGTCATTTAATTTGGCCTTGTGGTGCATCTAAACTAGAAAAACTACCTTCAACCTTGCTTATATCTTTACATTTTTATTTTTAGAACAATCATAAGGGAGCCAAAATATATATTCAGCAATGCATTCACAAGAACCCTAATCAGTCATCACTGTGGAAACTTTTGTCAAGGTTACTGCTCAGACATTTCCCAGAATCCTCAGGATCTGTTGCAGCAAGCTGTGCAGAGTGTGCATACAGACTTAATCCATTAATGCATGTAAGTATGGAGGAGTCTTGAAAAGCACTAGCCTGTGCTCAGGAATCACAGCTGTATTAGGTGCACCAACAAAGCTTTTCCTGTAGATAAAGTCAATTGATACATTGGCAGAAAATATTACTGTTTGAAATACACAATTATATATTGGAAATTCTTGTTTTCCATGTAAATAAATATAGATAATATTGGTCATTTTTAAAGTTTTTCAGTTTTTGCTCATTATGCACAGTGCTTTCTGTGAAAAGAACAGTTTACATATAAAATTTATATGATCTAGACCAGTTTCTGATGACATTCTTTAATCCAAATGTAAAAGACAGCAACATATGTATATAAGATAGCCAGTAACACTGACAGGCATGATAATGATTGAGCATAAAATAGTTAATTCAATATTTGTGTGGAGGATAAGATTAATACTCTACATTAAAATAGGAGGGGGGAAACATTTGATATGATTTTTATGCACACAACATGTGTTCAAGAATAAGTTCATTAGGTATCCCCACGACAGTATGAAATTATCAACATCTTTGTTACAGAATATACAGAACATAGTGACTGCTAACTTGTTGAGGTCAACAACTACCAATAATTCTAAGTTGCTGAAATCAGCTGTGAAAGCTTTACATATTAACCCAGGTAGGTACATTACAAATCATTATAGCTTTTTACCTTTAGTAAGAAATTTGAGGCCTCTGCAGGGCTAAGTAATTCCACTTAACCTGCAACTGGTGAAGTAAATTTCTGGGATTTCTGGTAACTGTCAGAGACTTGCCCATTTTGACTTATAGTTCTGGAACAGCCCAATGAAAATTTACACATAGAAATTGTTTGGGATGTCCAGTCTTCCAGGTCCAATTTAATTGGATTGCCTTGAAGTAATGTTGCAAAAAGGTATAAGATATATATTTTTTTCAAAAGTTAAAAGTGCTATCCTTGAAAATTATCTGTTGTGATACCTTTTGAGCTTACAATAGGCTAGAAATATTTATGTTCTAATGCATCTCAGTTTCAAGCAGAATACTAGTCTCCTCTTCCTCAGTGACTTGAATATTTACATTGCATAATCCATAAGTTTTCAGAACAGATTTATTTGTATTGAGGAATTAGTTCATACAATGCATGTTTGATATTCATTACTCTGTAGCTTTAGCATTCAAGCAGTTCATCTAGTCACTGCATGTTACAACTTACAGTCAACATGTATATGACCCCCTTTTCTTAGTCACACTTCAATTGTTTGCTGACGAAAAATGATAAATGATATATTATTGATATTTAGATTGCTGATGTATTAGTTTATGGATACTATATCATTTTTCAAGACTTGAGACCTAACTCTTTAAGTCATAATGCACCAAATTTGAAATGGTAATATTCATTGTTCAGTTTCTGATGAATCAGTTTTATGTTTGCAATTATATAGCAGTCCATCGAATCGTTGATTTTGATTTTAATGCAGAGGGTGAACACAATTTATCTGATTTTTTTTTCATAAAATCTTCCCAAAAATTATATTCAATTTTCTGGAATTACGACCCCCTGAGGAATTCTACCTAATAAACCTTTCTTTCACTTTTAAGATATTTTTCAGATATCTTGCAAGGAAATTATCATACACGTCTCTTTTTTTTTTTAGACATACAAGAAAACTGGAAAAATCTGGTCAAGTCTTTAGATAGACAGTGTGCGAATGAGAATGTGAAATGTTGGACAGACATAAGAGATTCTTACAACCAATGGATGTCAAAGACAGAGGAATAATTTATTGATAAAATAAAATAAATTTGAAAGAAATGAGTTTATATGTTAAATGTGCTTACTTATTTTTTATTTGGAAACAGAAAGTTCATGGAGACAACAAAACTTGTTTTGGACAACTGTTAATACCCATTCAGATGGGGGGCGTAGCAAATTTGTGCCACCCCTAAATCTGATTATATAGTTTTTAGCTCACATGGCTGAAAGGCCAAGTGAGCTTTACTCATCACTTGGTATCCTTTTTCCGTCGGCGTCTGTTTACTTTTACAAAAATCTTCTCCTCTGAAACCACTGGGCCAAATTCAACCAAACTTGGCCACAATCATCATTGAGGTATCTAGTTTAAATGATATATCCTATGACCCCGCCTACCAACCAAGATGGCCGACATGACCTAAAAAAGGAACACAGGAGTAAAATGCAAGTTTTGCCTATTATTTTGCAAACCGCTATAAATAGAGAAATTCTAAAACAGCCAAAAAAGGTTCAAAATGTTGAGCTCGTACTATTGTCCATTTAATTTGAGTCAAAACTGTCAGATGACTACTTATAGGAATTATTGCCCTTAAGTGATGATTTTTTACCATTTTTGATTCAGCCATGCTGGATCTATGCGAACACTCTGGTTTTGGAGATGGTGCAGAATACTAAGTTGAAGACATATCATGAAACTAATTATGTGTTTTTATGACTTGCAGAAACTTTCTACACCATTTTAATCATCAACTGCAAACTTTTGACATGTTATTTGCCCTTAAATTAAGAAAAGATTGGTCGAATAGTGACTTTATTTTAGATATACACTTGCATATAGTTCCTTTCTAAATCAAAATTTATGATGATTTACTATTTATGAATTAATTTGAAAAAGTATTTGTACATCAATTGAATCAGTTGATAAGAATTGTGAAAGTATTAAATTAGCATCTTGTACTTGTGTAAATTATTGTTCAATGAAATGTAGATTAACATGTGTATTAATATATCTAAGTTGATTCCCACACTTTTTTGAAATGGTATTAGTCCAATTCTTTCCATAGGCAAGTAAGAATCAGAATGATTATTAACTGTCATGATTTTCAAATAAGTATTAATTAGAAACAACCCCAGGCTTAATTCAACACAGTTAATATCTCATGACCTGTTACATAATTAAATAGACACAATTTATTACTCACCTAATTGAATACACACATTCTTGACCTCAATAGTAAACCTTCAAATGTATTATTTACTTTGATCTACACTACATTAAAATATTCTGTTAATTTTGCTAGCTAGCTGAATGATTAATCTGATGTGTTTTTTTTTCTCAAAGAAAATACTTAAAATGAAAAAAATATGTATAAAAAATGCAAGCAAATTTTATTTTACTTGTAAAATCAGTGCCATTATCATCTGACATAAGTCAATAATCAAGTTCTAATTAATTAGTTACAATTATCAGAAATTTGGTTGAAATATTAAACAAAATTGCATAACTGTTACCTGAGCATTTTCAGGTTCTGCAATAAAATTTCTGTTTGTTTTACATTTATATCCCATTATATTGCTATTTAACAGTAATTGGAAATATCTCAGCATTAGGTATTTGTACATTAAGATTTGAATACAGGAAATGTATTTTTTCTTAATAAAGAATGAACACCAATTTAGATAAAAAATAGTTATTTTTTTTGATTTTTGTTGTTGAGAAAGTGCATTTATAAGGCCTCTTTCTGGAAATTATTAAACCTGTCATTATTAATGGCATATAAAAAATATATTACTTGTTTGACGATTTTCCTTTCCATTCTTGTCAAAAATGAAATCTGACAGAGTCTAAAATTGAAAGATCAGTATATATATATCTATATTTGCATCAATATTGCGAAATTTCCATACCTTTGGACAATAACATAGAAATTTTACAGTAAGATTGGAAATGAAAAGAGAAAAAAATTTAGAAAAAAGTATGATCAGAAAGAATATGAGACTAGCTATGAATATGGCTGGATCACAACATCAACGATGCTTTGATTAGAAGTTTATCCCTATTATCTCGAAAAATTATAATAGATAGACAGAAAATTTAAAAGGCAAAAATGATCAGCAAGACAAGATCTACAAATAAATCATAATGACCCAAATGGTCAGAAGACTCCTTATTAGAGTTATTGTCCTTTAATGACGATTTTTACCAATGGAGTAGGGGTAATAAGGCCCTTATTTGGCCCAAATATTACTGCAAATTAAAAAGTTATCATACATATTCTTAAATTTGTCTTAACTAGACTAAGGTACAAGGTATTCAGAAAATGAAAACCAATTCCACATAACACAAGTTACCATGGCAACAAACCATGAAGAAATTTGTATATTTTGTCAAATTTCTTGATTTTCAGTGTTTTGAATTAAATTTTAGGTATATTTTAGATTGGAAAAGTATGTGCGCACCCAAGAAACAACTATATTTGGTGAGATCATTTCAATCGTTATAATAAAGCATCTCTTTAAGTTGTTTTGTTGTTTTTTAGCTGTGCACGATGTTTCCATAATTGAAATAACGATGGAATTCTGCATTAGTTCTGTATTTTTCATCCTTTTCATGAAAACGGTGCATATAATGACGTAATTGTGACGTTGTTTCCATAATTGAAATAACGATGGAATACTGCACTAGTTCTGTATTTTTCATCGTTTTCATGAAAACGGTGCATATTATGACGTAATTGTGACGTTGTTTCCATAATTGAAATAACGATGGAATACTGCATTAGTTCTGTATTTTTCATCGTTTTCATGAAAACGGTGCATATTATGAGGGAATTGTGACGTCATCAGATAAAAAAACTTATGTTTTTCAGTTATATTTCTTGACTCTATGCATCTCCAAACATTAGGTGCCAATTTGAAATAGTTGTCCCAACATTTTATTTTCATGGGCCAAAACCAGGCCTTAATGATCCTACTCCTTTTTGCGTTTTTGCCTTTAATATCTAAAAACTATAATAGATAGATAGAAACTTTTAAAGTAAAAATGGTCAGGAAGACAAATATCTGATGGATAGATCCTTCAGAAAAGAAAAATTGTCAGCAGGAGAAGATCTACAAATATGTTAACATGACTGAAATTGTCAGTTAACTCTTAATAGAGTTGTTCCCCTTTAATGATGATTTTTACTAAAAAGTGGCCATTGTTGAAGGTGCAGGTGAGCAACACAGCCTCTTTAGAGTCTCTTGTTTAACAAGAACAACAATAATGTCTCTAGCATTAAAATTTGGATGTTCTGTTGTATATTTTGTTTGTTCTGTGGTAAAAAGACGCCCCCAAATTTGTATTTCTATTACTATCATGAAAACACAAAAATGCTAAAACTGTTTAAAACAGGTCAATAAAATGAAATAACTCCTATAAGAAATTAATTGTTGGTTTTAGTTGTACAGGCTTTTTTGTTTATTTTGTATTTGTGATCATATTTATATGTCAAATAATTTGGGTTTTGATCCAGATTTCATAGTTCACTGAACATTAAAATGTAATAGTGCAAGCGGAGGCATGGTGCCTTGCAATCAAAGTGTTTACATATTTGTGCTATGACCATATAGGGAATTATTGTAAATGTTGAATGGAAGTGAAATACAACATCCTTTAGCTACAAATGAGACAAACAAAATTAAAAAAAATATTATTTCGTTTTTGTTTCAAACATTTTTAAAAGCCGAATATAGAAATTATATTTCGCTTATAGCAACAAGTTATGTTTAGTTTTGTAAGCTCAAAAACTTTGTTAATGTAGTATTGGCTTGCAAGTCAATAATTCAACCTCATTTGAATCCGTATTCATGCAACCTTTGACCCTTATTTGCGCATGTGTTCAGTATATGGTCAGCATGTTCATTCTTTGAAAATAAAATAAAGTGAAACAAGGGAGCCATCAGGAATAACCATTTTGTTGACTGATCTGGCCCATAATAAATCACTTTATAAATGATACACATATAGTTTTAATGTCTAATCTATGACATGAAATCAAACGGACGTAGAAAAGTCCTCATTATACGTTGCACATGCTTTTCTGTCTCTTTATATTTTTATTTATATCTGGTTATAAAAAAAAATTATGACCATTGGCAGTCTTCGGAGGTCATTTCGATGGATAATAAGAAGTTGTCTTAAGTCCAAGTGACTAAAATTCGGGATTAAAAAGCCGGAGTATTAGGTGTTTTGTTGGACTTTCTGTTACCGTTTTTTTCTGACAAAGTTTTCTGTTAAATATATTTCCCCCCGTAAAATCATATTCGATGATCTGGTTTCTTCATCTCAGTTTCAGGGGAAATAAACCTAAGTTCCTTCATGAGCTCTCGGGCTTCCATAAAACTTATTACATAGATTGATACGTTTACCAATTTTCAACATCTAAGTTCTCGAGCATACCGATCTACTCAAAGTGTTGTCACAGGAATTTTCAGTATAACAATAATGTATCTTAGTGAATACAACAAGGTATATCTGTCAGTCAGGTAAATAAAAATTTAAACTATGTCTTCAAAAGGATATAACACATCTACCCCGTTGAACTTGAGAACACAGATACAATTTCTAGTAAGTCTTCTTCATATCTCGCCTTAACTAGAAATTGGTCAGTTGATAACTAAACTTTATCACAAAAGATATGATTTTATGAATTTTCCGTTTCTATATAGCATCATTCTAGCAGCGCCTGCAAATGGGGCATAAATGTCCTAGATTATACGATATTCCAGAACTTGTGATTCCTATCATGATTTCCTTGATAGAGGGCTACTGCTTACAGGGGAGCTATTAAACCAAAGGTCCATACTGGTAAAGTTAAAAGTCATCAAATCGAAAGTTTTACGGAAGCCATAATGATTTAGTTGACCGCTATTGGATATCATTCTCAGAGGTGGCCACAGATATTATGTTCAATTTTTGTAGCCACTATTCTGTCCTCTTTTTCTCTATTTTGTTATCACTGATTGCGCTTATCACCGAACGTATCATGAGCAACACGACGGGTTACACTAATGAAGCA